GGCGTCTGCGCGGGGCCCCGCAGCTGCTGGGTGAGTGACGGGCGGGACCCTGCGCCCTTCGTTGTTCGTCGGGTGCCCTGTGCCGTTGGCCTGCCGCAGGTGCGTGCGGAGGAGCTGCGACCCGAAGCGAGGGGTGAGGGCGGGTGGTGCTGGGGGAGGAATGGAGGCTGTGCGAGGTGGTGGGGAGGTGTGAGAGCCTGGTGGGACCAGGGAGGTGTGTGGGGTGGCGAGGCCGAGCCGGGCGGGTGGTGGACCGAGCAGGAGAAGCTCGGCAGCGATGACCGATTGGGAGTTGGATCAGCAGCTGTGGAGGTGGGTTAGTTTGGCGGGGTGCTGCTTGGTTGGGTCTCTGGAGGGACGTTAGGAAGGGTATGGGCTGATGGGAGTGGATTTGGAGAGAGGCAGTGAAGGTCTAGAAAGTGTGATCACTGAGAAAACTGAAGGAATTGCATCTAGAGAGGAGACTACATTGGTGGGAGATTAGGCCTTCAAATATGTAAATACTGTGTTGTGGATAGAGAAAGAGAAGTGCTTACAATTGGAAATAGTTGAGTGGGTTTTAGGTGTAAGTACAGGTAATTACTGAAAGAGAAAGATTTGGGGTTGGGTTTTTTCCAATGTTTGGAGATTCCACCACTTTTCTGTCATCTTATTATTCTACAAGTAATGTTTCAAGTAGCTGGAGAAGGGCATGGAAGCTATATTTTATGGGGTTTTTTTTTTTTTTTAAATGGAGAAATGGAGTTTGAATTTATTAATTGTGTGTCCAGCATACATTGCCACATAGAAGTAAACCTGTGAGGTTTTGGCAACAGCCTTTCAAGATACTTTTTCTCTTCTCAGGAGTTTGTTGTGACAGAATTACCAGGCAGATCTTCTCCTTACCTTCCATGTTTTCTCTAAGAGATGTGGGAAGAGTTTTGGATGCTGTCATGGTTTAACCCCGGCTGGCAACTAAGCACTGTGCAGCAACTCGCTCACCTCCTTCACAGTGGTGTGGGGGAGAGAATCAGAAGGGTAAAAGTGAGAAAACTGGTGGGCTGAGATAAAGACAATTTAATAGGGAAAGCAAAAGATGCGCACGCAAGCAAAGCAAACCAAGGAATTCATTCCCCACTTCCCATGGGCAACCAGGTGTTCAGCCATCTCCAGGACAGCAGGGCTTCATCACGCCTAACGGTTACTTGGGAAGACAAATGCTATCACTCTGAACGTGCACCCGTTCCTCCTTCTTACCTAGCTTTACATGCTGAGCATGACGTCCTATGGTCTGGAATATCCGTTTGGTCAGTTGGGGTCATCTGTCCCAACTTCTTGTGCCCCCCTCCCAACTTCTTGTGCCCCCCTCCCAACTTCTTGTGCCCCCCTCCCAACTTCTTGTGCCCCCCTCCCAGCCTCCTCGCTGTTGGGGTGGTGTGAGAAGCAGAAAAGACCTTGGCTCTGTGTGAGCACTGCTCAGCAGTAAGGAAAACATCCCTGTGTTATCAACACTGCTTCCAACACAAATCCAAAACACAGCCCCATACTAGCTACTGTGAGGAAAATTAACTCTATCCCAGCCCAAACCAGCACAGATGCCCAAATAAAATGTGGTCTTTCCTCTCCCTACTTGATCCATTAGTTACAACTTGTGAAACATTTAAACAATAATCAGATGCGTTGTTATTAGGTACTGGTGTGATACTGAGCATAAAATATGTGAACACTTTGGTTTTTAAGTGCACTTACAAAGAAGTGAGCTCTTGTTAACCTTGTATAATAAAACTACGTGTATTTTACAGTAAAACTCAGTAGTAGTTTAGAGACTTGTTAATCATTGTGGTTTAGATTTCAGTATACCCTTCTTTCCAGCACTGGTTGTCTTTGCTGCTTTGCAGTATGAAAATCTTTTCCTTTGCAAAACCTGCTGTGTATGATGTAGGGAAGGCTATCCCTGTTCTTGAAACAAATGTTACTTATTTTCAGATTTTATTAGAAAAAAATTGTTTCCTTCATAAAATAATATGTTTGTCTTTTTGTCCAGTGTAGGATTAGCTACTTCTACATTAGCCTTACTATCTAATTCCTTAAAGACCTTTTGCCTACAGTCCTCCCAGGCAATCTATTGGAGTACTTTATACTTTATGGTGAGAAAGGCTTATTTAATGTGTAGCTGGAGTTAAATTGCTTAATTTTGGATATGGGTGAAATTTTTTTTTTCTTCATTACAGTAAACTTTTATGTATTAAGGTGGTTATATCACTCCTTTAACTTGTTCAGGCTTTCCTCATTAACGTGTTTCTTTGAACCCTCTTAGTATTCCTTACTGCTCTTCAAGGTGGTGCATATCTCAGTGACACCATTTTTCTTAAATGTTTATTGTAGCCTCTAAAATGAAAACTAAGAAAAAAGTCGTAACTTCTCTGGTAAAATACAGCTCTTCTGGACATAAAACTCACTCTTGGTTCCTAGTCTGAGAATTTAAAGTTAAGTCAGTTTTATTTTAGCATTAGTTTTATTTTTCCACTTTTCTGTTTCTGAAAATGCCACCATTTGAAGTATTGGTTCATGTGGATCTAGTTTTGTTGTGTCACTTTAGTTTTTGCTTCTCTGTGTGTTTCTGTCCCTCTCTGTGGTGATGGTAGAAGAGGGAGAAAGTTGTTTTGCATAGTCAACATGATTAATTCAGGATTGAATTCCCAGTTTGTTGCTTACAAGGAAGGAAGGAAGAAAATGAATGAACTTTTATGTTAGAGATCTGTAAATTTGGCTTTGTTTTTAATGTTTCTTAATCTTATCATTGATGTCAGGTTGGAGTAGGTCTTTCAATTCTCTAGTGACTACAGAGTATGGCGTAGGAAGTTATGAAGTATCTCTCCGGTGGGGCACATTAAAGCGTTTGTCTTCAGTTCATTGCAGTTTTTTTGGTCTGACAATGCTGTAGCTGTTTCCATAGGGAAGGAGGTGAAAAAGAGGCAATGAACCTGTGTTATGCTGAGTAAGTTCAAGTACAAAATTCACTGTCAATGGGATTCTCAGATTGTAGTTAATAGGATATTATAGAGGTCTACGAGTCCGCTCTTCTCTTAAAACCCTGCTCTTCAGTCTGTTTGATACACAGGCTAAATATGCGTTGTATGTCTTAATGGAGAAGGAAAGAAGCAGAAGCTTTGTGCCCAGACTCAACTTGATTCTTAAAATGTATCACCAAGATCAAATTCTCTTGGATACACAGAGGGTTTTCTTTAAAATAGCAGCTACTGTTTATGTGAAGTTTTTTTTAAGTCTTCCTCCTTTTTTATTCAGTTAACTGATAAGTAATAACAGTTATTGTTGATAGTAAGATTAATGGATGGTGACTAGGCGTTCAGAATTTTCATATGCTCATGGCTCTAAATTCTATTATGCCCATGAGCTCTGTCTTTGAGATTCTGTGTGAATTGCCAGAACTTTTTGCTTACCCATAATGAAAAAGAAACAATATTTACTTCCCAGAGTGCTTATAAGGACTGCCTGTACAGTGCAGCTAACTTACGTGAATGCAATGACTTCTTTTATTAGTATATTTTTCTCATTTAATGAGGGAAAATATTATTTGGTGAAGGGAACTGTTGAACATGATTGCTTTTTTTTTTTCCAGAAACATATTTAAGCCTGTCTTTTGGATATCTGTGGTCATTAACTGAGAAGTGACTGAAATAGCTTTGAAAGACCATTGTTGTAGCTAGTGTTCTTGTGTATCTGTTGCTGAACAAGGCCCTTAATTTGCAACACTACTGAACTTCTCTGAACACAGGCATCTCTATGCGTGAGCATTAAATGAATGCACAAGGAATGGATAGGTTGGTGAGCTTGGAGGATGGGAAAGGAGTAGAGAAAATGGAGTTGAAGTGCATAAGCACCTGGATTGTAGTTCCACAGTTGCTTTAACTCAAATTCTGTGCAAGTTCCCACTGCCCATTTTGGGTATTGGTTTTGGTCATGCTGCTGTGTGATGAGCCATGTCAGGAAGCTAACTTGACTGTATTTGGTTTTGTTATCAGCTTAATTTGTAGCAAAATCCATTCCCCAATCTGGGTAACTGGGCAACAGCATGAGTATTAGTAGTAGTGGTAGTATGAATAAAGGTGTGAAAGTGAACAGTTGGGGCAGAACTGATCAGCTCCTTTTGGTTGTATCATGGATTGATATTAAGTTGATGTGGAGCAAGAGGCAATTGCATATGGCTTAAAACTTTTTCCTGAATTGGCCCTATTCAAAATGCAATCATTGTGCTGCCTTGAAAAATTCTGTTTGTGATACATTGTAGAGAGAAGAAATGCTTTTCTTATTTAAAAAGTGCTTTGATTTTGTAGCTATGAAATTACTTTAAAGCATCCAAGCAATGTTAATAAATGTGTTCTCTGGGAAGTTCTTCAATGAAGTTGTTGACCACATCCAACCTCCAGGCAACTGAAAGTACTTAGAAATTGAGTTTTTAAAATCAGTGCCACAGCATTGCCAAGTCTGTTGCTGAAATCTTTTCTTGTGCATTACTGTAATGGATGCTGTAACTATTACCATTTTCTTGTATAATTCTTCATAGTTCAGATCAGGTTGCATATAAGTGAGGAGGAAAAGGAAGTTCCATGCAAAGTAATAGAAGTAAAGCAATTTTTTGGTATACTTTGTGCACTTTTTTTGC